TAACCAAAAAAAAAAAAAAAAAAAAAAAAAAAAAAGAAAAACATCTCCATAATCTCTTACCTCTTGCCTGGAAGTTTTCCAGGTACTGTTCAGATATGTCACTTTATACACCTCCTACTAAAACGTTTTATAACAAATGGAAAAAAAGTTACTCAGTTGAACACATTTCAATGTTTAATTGAAAGGTACATATCTTAATATTGAGATATGACAATTAGACTTGCACATTGCATCTTCTCCCCATATCCCAGTAGGCTGACCACACCGTTGTCCAAATCACTTGCATGCTTTTCAGAGGCCAGTACAACGCACAGATAGATAGCACTGGCAGATGCAAAAACCCAATTACATGTTATGCAGTGCAATCGCTCAAATGAGTTCACGAGAAGGCTTGATTCATCCAGTACAAAGCTTTGGTCTGAAGTCTTCTGTGAAAAGTTTAACTAGTTTGAGATATGCAAAGAATGGTTTCCCCCTCGGCTATTACCATAAAGGGGAAAGGGTTGGTTGGCTAACATCTAAGCCCACACTATGTTCAGAACATTCTGATCTCTCCTTCTCCACTAAGTCAGTTCATATGGCAATCAGTTATTAACAGCCTATCGCTAACAACCTCTGCTCCACAGTGACGCAGAATTCAAGACGTCATTAGCAACATTCCCCGAACATCTCCCTTCATCTTACGTACAATAATACACATTCTTATTATTCACTTCCTTGTTAGCACCAGAAGCTTGATATGCCTCAAGTACTGACCCGGTCTTCAGAAAAAACAGTTGTATTTTACGATGCTTAACATTAAAGAGATCAGAGTTGAAGCAATCTTCAGTGTTTCTGAACTAGATTGCTCCCACATACAGGCCAAGATGGGGCATTAGCCCCGCTCCTACTGTGCCTGTAAAAATGCACCTGTTCAGCATCAGCATTTACCTCTTGTACAGCGAAACTTTGGAAAACTGGTGTCAGATTTGGGGCAGGTGACCCAGTACTTTCCCTCAGCCTTCATTAGGTAGCATGAAGTTTTTGCACTCTATGAAGTAACTTGTAATCTCAGTAAACTACACCTCTTACAAAATCCTGAAGTTACTGATGCTGTATTAGTGACTACCTTTTACAAGGCAATGAAATAAAGTTTCTCTTTTCTCCTGCTCTAGCTACTTGACATGTTCAGTGGGTACCGCATAGCCTAGTTTTTAATGTGTGTCTATGGTAGAAGGCCAGTGCCCTGCCCAGCAGGAACATGTGGACACATGACATGGCCTAAACAGCACGTCAGGTGGACTGACAGGCATTTGCTATTGTCATTAATAATGAGCGGGATTAGTCTTGTTTGATTGAGACACTGCAGCACTGTGCTGCTGCACGTTTTCCTAGCGTCATGTAATCTTTGGAAAGTGAACCAGATTTTTAAAATTAAATACATGATTCAGCACCTGCACTTATAATATACCAAGATTAGACTACACAAGCTGCTCTACAAACTATAAGGTGTTAAAATTCCTTGTATCGGTATTGTGATATTTCACTGAACAGTAAACAGTCTAACAAATAAGACTGAAAACTGACACTGAGCGTTGTTGTAATCATCATGAAAAGAACATATTTGCTGGAAGGATCTTTAGTCTGAAATGTTACATGCTCTTTCCATGAGTTGAGTTCTTCATTATTAAGATCGTGTTTCAGACTTTGTTTCTCAAATATTCATGCGTCTGTTGACAAGGTCACAGGATGGTTCTCTCCTCATTTTATTGTACTCCTGTAAAAAAAAAAAAGTCAACTGAAGGGCTTTCTATAAGAGCCAAACAAAGCATCAGACTTTAATATAGCAAGACAACAGCAAGACAGCTGTTACAGTAAATATGTAGCCTTTGGAATTAAAGTCTAGATAAGGAAGTAGTTCACAATTTCTACAGAGCAAAAAACCAGTAATATGAATAACTGAATTACAGTTTTTAGACTTTACTAAACGGACAGTTATAAAAGTAAAACTATATAAAACTGCCTTCTTTTAAAGTGGTTTAAGTGAATGATTACAAGAAACTCATTCTAATAGGCAACTGTTTCCTCTTAGCCAATTCTTTTTAGGATAGGAGCAAGCCAAGTTTTTTCTCTGCCTTTTTACCAGTTTTACTCCACATTTTAGTTTGAATGAGGTCCCAATGTCTGTAGCACACATTTCTGCTCCCACAGCACACCAGAGGATCAGTTCTTTCTCCAATGTTCATATATTAGGTTGCCACTTCTTTAGGTACAGCACTGGCTCAAGCATGAACACGAGAACAGACCAGCCTCTATGACAGGCCTACTATGTTTATGTTACATGTCTTCAAGAGGTTACCTATATGGAATAAGAAACTTTGAGGTAATTAACAGCTAATTACTTCTACGTTATCAGAAGTTGATTTTACAAGGAGTTACCTATTATGAGCTGGTCTCTGGAATTGTAGGAAGGTGTGTTATTCTGTAGTAGCTATGTTTAAGCTGTCGTGCTGTACGTCCAGACACAATCCATTTTAATTTCTGGACATTTGGTTTGGAACACTTGCTCGAAGAATATTCTGTAAGGCACTTTAACACCAGTTCCTTCCAGAAGGTCAAATCTCTGTTGTTTATCTAAATAGCAAGACAGAATCTCATATGTTAATAACTCATTAAATCCTTATAGCATACATGTACTTTCAGCTTCTTCACATAAGATAGGAAGCCAAAGATCCCAAGCCAAATGGGAAAAAAACCCCTACCAAGCCACAAAAGAAACCAGTATGCCAATGGACCTCCCCCTTCCCCACTGTGTAGGCCCTTGCACGCATTTTTCTTCCTTCCTCCCCTGAAACTTTATCTGTACATACCTTGGAATGCAACTGCAGAAATTCCAATGCCTCTGTCAACTCCATTAGTTTTTGTTCTTCTATTTCTAGTGCCATAATAGACAGTGCCAAGACAGAAGGCTGGGGAGAGAGAAAACATTTTTAAACACCTCTTTGTTAAGTTTCAGTAGTCTTGTTGCCTTTGAGCTTTCAAGCTGTTTACCTTGGCTTTAGAAAACATGATTCTGCAGTGACATGCCTTAAGCTGGGTCTCAAGTCTCTCAAAATTAAGGTATTTTCTCCTATAATAAAAAAAGATGAGTGAATATAGAAGGAGAATGCAAGCTTGATCAAGGCAGCACCACTCTGGGAACTCAGAGAAGGAGTAAGAATATTCATTATCTAAACAAAGGCCTCATTCGTTCCAGAAGTTCTAGGGTTACAGTCAAACAGGTGTTCAGTTTTGGCAGTCCTAATGCCAAAAATAAATCTTGTGTTACACTGGGGAGAGTTGCATTGTCAAAATAGGTTTACCAACAAGGAATTTTAATGCTTACTACCAAAAGGAATCTCTTTCTAAGCCAGATTTTGAAATCTTTGCAATAAGGCAATACTTAGTGCAGCATAAGCAGAGATTTATTATACTATCATTATTGAGCAAGTTTGGTTTTTGGCTCAGAGGACAATACTCTTTAGATCACTTTATGCAAACAACATTTAAAATTAAAATATTAAACTACAGATATTCACATTTATGATATTTACCAATAAAGGGGGAAAGTTTGTGGGTTTTTTTAAGTATAGAAAGGCCAATTACTCGTGTAATTTCCCTGCTTACTTTTCTACATAGGCTTCCTGATCATATACAGTCATAGCAAAATAAGTATTACATATTTTACCTTTCACAGCTTAAATTCTCATGAATGAGTGAATGATATAGTTGTAGAAATTGGAAGGCTGTCGTAGCTTTGACTTTCCAAGACAGCTTCTCCAATACGATTTTCTCCATCCTCATCATATCAGAAACAGTGAACCTATACTGGCTTATTCGAATTAAGTCAGTGGCCAAGGGAACATTTCTCTCTTCTTCTGATGCCTTCACAGCCAAGTAGAAGCAGCTGAGTCCAACACAGCCCAAATGTTTAGGCTGTACCTAAAGAAAAGTAAATTGTTGTTACTTTCAAAGAGGAAGGCCTTTGATCAGCCATTTCAACATCTAAATACCAAACTATATAGGCACCAGTGTATTTTAGGAAAAAATTATGGGGGCAGGGGCTGTTGTTCTGTTTTTTGAAGATTGAGAAATCAGTCTTTTGTCTGGTTACATTCTTATATTTATTTAACTAAATGAGAAGACAGTTACACACTATGAGTTCTGCCTCATTCATCTAAAAAGCAAGACTGCAGAACAATATATTTTGATTGAGGTAGAACAGGTTTCTTAATGAGGTTCTATAATAGCTTAATCAGAAGCTTTTAGGACTTAAAGTGTTATACATATTGGCTTATACAAAAAAAAAATTGGGTTTTACTCTTCTCTATATATACACACACGCGCATATATACGTACATAAACTCACTTATTTTATTCCATAGGCATTACAGTCCCCATTTTTACTGCTTATTTTGGATTCACAAGTCTTTCAAATCATCATTTTCCTATCCACTCCATCTAGCTTTCTCATTTTTCTTTTAACACACAAGGAAAACAAGCTTTTGTTCTTGACCAAATAGTATAGTGGTAATCCTGTCTTGTTAGACGATTAACAACAACCCAGGTCAGCATGCCACTACCAGATTCTAAGTGCTGACCAGCATCAAGCCTCTTAATACACCCGAGCCTTACGGGTAGGTTGAAACAGCAGTAAAATAATAAGTAATTTAAAGTGTTCTTGTATACATGCAACAGGCAAGACAATCCGTCTTGACCTAACCCCTTAATATGGCCTGCATTTCCAAGCCTATGGGCATCCTGAAGTTGCAGCTGATGCCCTCTTCCTTCTCTTCTCCAGAGGAAACAGCTTTCTTAACAATACTAAAATATGAACAGGGAAAGACATTTTTTAGCTCTTGCAAAACCAGAATCTCTGCAAGGAGCTTAACCTTTAGCCATCTAAACCCAAGACATTCTAACTTATAATAGGAACAAGGTTGCAATGAGCAGAAGCTAATGACTGAGAGCTTATAGTTTAAAAAGCCATACCTTCATTTTTGACAAGAATCTATCTAAGAAATTCACAGCTAGTGAAAACGTCTCTGTATGGAAGCCAAAGAACTGCGTTAAGCTGAGGAGATCTTTCACTTCAAAGTCTCGCAGCCTTGCAGTCATTCGGAGGCCATTATCATGAGCAGATTCAATCAGCCTCAGGCCAGAGGCCTTTGGCTGACATCTTAACTCCTGTTCCAACAGGGCTGTGAGCTGGTACAGCAGTTCCTGAGCTTCAGTAGTTACAAGTGTTTCAATCATCTGTAACGAGAAACAAATGTAAGTGTATCAAACAACTAAAGGGGGGAAAACTTACAAATTTACACTTGTCTCTAAAGCAAAGATAGGAACTTTCCTTTCTCTGTAGGTATGTGGACTGCTCATTTGTAAGTCTAAGTTTTTGCCAATTAGCAACGCACGTGGAACACTAGGAACGGATAGCGATATAGATAATGGAAGGTGAACGTGTTGCTGGTGAAAGTTAATTCCAGTTTGTTGTAGGTGTCAGGCACACACCGGCGCCATCAGCGCTCGGCCCGCTGACCAGCCAGTCACACAGCATACGCAGGCAGCGAAGCTCCCCCTGTACTGAGCGAGCTGGGCCCGGCCAGGGCTGTCAGCTAGGAGGCTAGAGTGGGTGCAGCCACCCTTCTGCTCACCGCAGTAGTATTTTTCAACTCAAAACTCCAGAATTACACCGCTCACCTCGGGGACTGGGGGGGCTGGGGGGCACCCCCGGCCGAGCCAGCACCAGGCCAGAAGGCTTCACAACCGTGGCCCACCGGACCCCGGGTAGTCCCACGTAAAGGTGCCCGCGGCTGTGCCCGGCACACCCCAAGCCCCGCAGACAGCTCCTGTCGCGCACCCGTCCGGCCCCCGCCGCCCTCGGGCCCAGCAGCGGCGGCGGGGCCCAGCGG